TTTGACTGCAATAGAAAACTCACATGATTGCGCTAAACCATAAGTTTCCTGCAATTGTTAGCTACAAACAGTCCTGTCATTTTAACAATAGGCTTGTGAACATCATGCTGTAAGAAACAGTTCCACATAGAATTTGCCTTTGGAGTTCTGGTACATTTCTAGGTACTCTTCCAATTTCAAGCAATAAATTCTAACAAATGAGGCTAGCAACTTAGGTAGAGTTCAGTAAAGAATGATCACCTTCAAATGATTTTCACAGGCTGCAGTTTATACGATGCTACAGTCCTTTTCTTTTAAGCCTATATCTACCTGCATGCAACTTGCATGAAACTGCCCTAGACTCGGACTGAATTTTTGCAGTGGGATGGGCTGCTTTTTCCAGCTACAGGTTAAGATTTCTGGGCATTGACAGGCTCACAAGCTATGAAAGAAATTAAGGGGCAAATAAAGCTCACGTACTGTTCATGTCCTTTGCTCTACAATTATGATTGGTATCTTTCAGAAATTAGTGAGTGAAACTTAGGCTTGAAGATGGTGTCACTACAAACTTGCACTGTCACAAGATCCCAAACAGAAGTATTACAGAAGCCAAAACAAAGCGATGTTGTTACTAAGGTCAGCAACCAACAGAACCACAATGCACAGATCAACCTCAGCGTGAGTGGAGTGTATGGCACCCCTTCAGATTTGGGACAGGATGTCTTAGGTTTAATTCACAATGTCACTATGACAAGATGAAGCTGCCCATAGCTATGTACTTCCCCGTTTCTTTACTTGTAAAGCAAGGATGTTTATGTTTTGCCATAAAACTTGTATTTATTTAAAACTAATGGAGAAGTATACTAATTCTGGATGCTCCTTGCTGTTCATCCTGATTAGTTTAAGCAGGTTTTTGATTTGTGTAACAAAACAACTCTGTGTGATTGGCCCTTTTTTTCTTTTTGAAATTGTGAAACTGGTTACAAATATCTTCATGTAAAACAATGCTTTTTGGTACAAGCAAGATGTTAAATTGGTAGTCCCATGGTTATTCCAGACTTCAGCACTGAGTCTAAAACAAACAACAACAAAAAAACCCTCGCCCCCCACAACCACCAGCAATACAGCTAATAACCTTTACAGTTTCTATTTCAAAGGCTTTGTTTCATTTGTTTATGGAAATGGCACCACTTCCAATCTTTTTTTTCATTATTTCAAATCAGTCCTCTTAGAGCCTGGCAGTTTTTCAACTTGCTACTAATTGCAGCCCTCTGTCTGCTATGTTCCTGAATGGCTGTTAACTGCATTTCCTATGATTATATACAGCTTTCACACACAATACATTCATACAGCTATCTTTTTTTAGCCAGTTTCTCATAAAACTAAAGATTTAATTTTGGCCTCTAAAACATTTTAGCTAAAATAAAAACATGATCAACTCCAGTTACTCTTAAGCAAGAGCAGGTTTCAGGGTTTAAGCAAAATTCTGAATCCAAACATGTTTTCAAACATTACTGTGGCTGAGCCTCCATTAAGTCTTTACAGTAAACAAATGAGTCTTAACACATACCTTAAAGATCAACACATTTACGCTAGCTTGGGCCAAGGAAAAGGTGCTGAGGGCAGATTCCATAATGAAAAGCCCCAGGCAAGCAGTATCTTTTTAAACTCACACACACTTTTTATGCTAATTTACTTCTAACGAAGGAATTCAGATTACAAAAAGGACAACTTCTACCCCTAGCTGCGTCTCCCCAGCCTTAGAGAACTGAAGAGAATTTATCCATCAGCATCTCTAGGCAAAACCAACAGGACTACCTAGCGTACATTCATCAGGTGAAGCAGTTTATCCCACAAAACACTTTGCTATCCCACAAGCATAACCAGCTGCATGTATTAATATTTCACAAAATTTCCAGTAGCGATCTCTCTGTAAAAATGTTTTCTCTCATTGACCATGCCACAGCAAAAGGAATTTCATTTTGATTTCCTGAACAATGCATTCTGCTTTCTAGCGAATTGTTTCACAACAATATAGAGAAAAACACAGGTAAGTTTGTGCAAAGCGTCTCAAGTCTGAGTGCCAATAACAAAAGCATCTTAGATTTGCCTGTAACTACCAGTTTGTACTAATTAAGGAGGAGAATCATAAGGGGGAAAAAAAAAGTAGCTGCAAATGCACATCTGGAGAAAGAAGCATCTGTTTCTGAGCAACTGGAAAGAGGCAGAACATCCTGTCAGGTCAAAAGAACAGTTGTGTGATGACAGGCACATCTAGAAACATTTTTTCTGCATCTCTCTGAGGAAAAGATTGTTTTAGACTCAAAGCAAGCAGCTTACATTTTCACATTTACCTATAGGTAGGTGTTTTATTTATCCCATCATATTTGCAGTCAAATTTTCTGCAGGCCCAAACCATTTAGGGATGCCCAGCCTTTAACCAATCAAAACTCTACTATGAAAACAGGTCTTGCTCCTTCTGTATTACTAGCAATTAAAACTAATTACTACAGATTGTTGCACATTTTAATTAAAACTTGCCTCAGAAAAATCCTCTAAAGATACTAGTCACTCACTATACACTGCCCTAAAATAGCTCAAAACAAATGCCATCACTTACATTTTCTTGCAGATACAGATCTTCCTACTTTCCATCACAGGCAAAAAAGATTTTCCTAAGAGGTTGTTTCTATACAAAACATCCTTTTCAGATAATCATCATGGGGAAAACGTTCCAGTACCATTAAAGGTCTATTATGTGAAAGTGTTACATTTTAGGTAGCCTTTTTAAAGTATATTTTAAATAAGACTAAAAATCATAGGTTAAAAATATTATTTAAAGGGTGTTTTCCTAACAGCTTTGTGGAAATCGTGATACCTGTTCAGGTTGGGATGCTGAAAGGATCCAGCTCAACACCAAGGAAAGTCTGTTGTGATTCCGATTTCACCTTCCGGAGGGACTACTGAAGCTCTTTATGCAAATTTAGTGTGACTGAATTTGTAATGAAAGTTATTCTTAGAACTTCTTTACAAAAATCAAGGGAGCTGCAAGAAACCGCAGCTGCAATTCAGCAGATTGTACTCTTACCTGTGTCTCCAGGATGCTGCTTCCAACAACAGCCTCACAGTTTAGAAGGCCTGATTAACGAGCAGTGGTAACGTGGCCAGATAAAAGATGGAAATGCTAACAAGGAGATTCTATGAGTATTTCATATAGCAGAGATTAAAAGATAAATACGTAAGTCTTGTAGCACACAAAGATGCTGTCTGTATGCTCCCCAGGCCAGACGGGAGGCAGCATTTTGACTCTTATTTTGTACTAGCAGTGGGAATACCTATTTCAGAACCAAAGGCAGAGTCCTCTGGTGGTTAAATGAAATGGGCAGTAGGATCTAATTATTCCCCACTCCTAGTCAAGTCCTGCCTGCTTGCAGAGAACGGAAATTCTCTGCTTGTTTTCCTGTTTATACCCACATGGAAATTTGAGACTGCAAATAAAAAGTGACAAGGTGATTCACAATATTACATACAGCAGGAAGGACAGGAAAGGAAAGAATAGTAAAACAGATCAGCTGTTCACCTGAGAAAAGGGTTAACAACTTCCAGTTCGGAACAACCACAGACTTAAGGAGGCAAGGTGCGTAGCAAAAGAAACAGAATTGGGTATATACACACTCTATCACCAGGCTGGTTGAGTAAAGGAACCACCACTGTAATTGCTGAGAAATATGTCTGCATGTCTAAAGGCTGTATTACATTTATGACTAATAATAACAAATTAGATGAGTAAAATCAGCTGCTGAGGATTCCAACTCTGTTCCATAAATACAATATTGATGTTTTGCTTCAGACAACCAGGGAAGCACTGTATTCCCCTCAGGTATCAGGATGACTGCAGTTCTCAGACTAGAGTGATGCAGGAGATGTAGATGATGATGCAAAGAATACCGATGGACTGATCTCCTAATTTTCTAATCCAAACCACCAGCCCTTACTACTTCTCCTGCTAATCCTTTGACTAAGTAAGGAGTTTGATTGTACGTACAGGAACCAAAGATGAAGAAAACAAATACTTAATATTAAAGATAAAGTAAATATTACCTGATAGCACTCATTAATAAAACAAAAGGAAAGTAAACAAAGGAGGAGGCTCAATCCTCTTAAGCAAAGATCCACACCAGCGAAGCTTTTGGCTGTTACGATTAGTAACAACTGTTACTAGTAAGAAACCACCCACAAGTCTGAGTTCATATTACGAGTACCTACACACACCTACATGAGGGTTTCTACTCACAGAAATTATATACTGTCTGTTTACAACATAAATTGATCTCTAAATTTCAATTCTCAGGGAAATCCATTATGTGCTTTGAAAGTCCCTCATCTGCTGAAGCATTCAGCAACCTCAAAGCTATTCACAGATTTATCATTTCTTCTTAAACAGAAATATTATCTTTAAGACTATAGGATTATAGCCAATTTATCTTGAAGGTGAAGACCATTAATGAAATAAACTCGTTTTTTTCCCTTAAAAAAGGAATATACAGTTCTCAGCCTACTACAGAGTAACTTCCTATAGTTATTTTAGAAAATAATTTCTGTATTTACTTGTCAATATAATTTCACAATTGCAAAACACAGATGTAGATGTTCAGCTGTTGATAATTATGCTTAGAGAAAATAATAAGTTACCAACACCGATTTCTTTCTTGTGGTTTGAACTGCTCCTTTCACTGGTATTTTGGTTTTTTTTTTTCTCCTGTATTTTAGCTCCCCCTCCTTGGTAAGTCTACATGCTTAACATAATCAGGAGTACTCAAAGAACAGATTGCATTAATTCAATCTGCTAGTAGTATTTACCTGAAATACAGTCAGAAGTTCATTATACTGTCACTAGAGCTTTAAACAATAAAAATTTTTCATTCAAAACCCACAGTCTTTTTTTCCCTTTTCTTTTTCTCAATTTTCACTGTTAGAAATCCAACAGGGTTCTTATCTTCATAATCACCTTAACCTTTTACCTGTGCTGTGGTTGACAGAGCGCTGCAGCCTTTGGGTTATCATAACCACAGGAGATGTTCTTGTTTTATGGAACCGCTTCCAGGAATAAAGAACTCTTTCCTGGAATAAAAATCAGTGTGTAAGCATTTCTACTCATCTTAAGTTTGAACAAAACTTATTCTTACTTCACACAGCTTTTCGGTATTTTTCACTTGTGATTTTCAGCATTAATTCATCATGTTCTATGAAAACCTGCTTTTACTCAGTTCCCATACCAGTACCAGTCATCTCCTTTCACCTCAGCAGTAAATAATTAATTGGAGACCTTTGGTTGCCTGGAGAGAGATGAAAACTAACCCAGCTTTCTAGCCCACTCTCAGGAGGCCGGCTTTGAGGTAAGGGCAAGTAAGAGGTGAGTAGAGAGCAGGGGCACACCCTTAGCTCAATTAATTTTAAAACGCCTAAAATACTGAGGAACAAGGTGTGAGAAATCCAACAGGTTAATGAACAACTTCTCTAATATGCAGCCCATACTCGCATCCCAGGAGCATGGAAGCGCATATGAGGGCGTTAATCAGACTCTCCCCAGGCCAGATGCGAATTAATGAATTTTACAGGGGGAAAAAAAAGGAGGGAAAACCACCACCAATTAAGAAGGCTGCCATAAAATTGCGCTTTAGTGACTAAAACCCATGAAACCTGCCAGAGAGACACCACCCCTCGGAAAGTCTCCTCCTAAGAAGCGACCTCCCCGGCCCGCCTCAGCCCTCCCCGGGCCGCACCCCCGCAACACGCCAGCCCACCCCCCACTGTGCCGGGCAGAAAAAGGTTCCTCCCCTTGCACGTACCGGCGGTGACGTCACGCGCGGCAAATTCTAGACCGTTCCAAGGCCGTGACGTAGGGCGGCGTCATTCCAGAAGATTCGGCCGGCGCCCATATAAAACCCGCGGAAGAGGCGGGGCTACGGTGAGTGGCGAGCGAGCGGCAGTGGTGTGGCGGGTGTAGTGGTGAGCGCGGCCCAGTGGGCCTCCGTGAGGTGCCGGGTGGGGGG